CGGCGGGCGTGCTCTCGCAATGCTCGATGTTCTTGCAACCGCGTGTACGCGTGCTACCTTCGCTGCGTCTTGAATTAAAGTGAAACGGAGTCTAGACGTACATTCTTTCACGCGGTCGCGTCTGCTGCGAGAGAGATTCGAGCTGGATAAGTAAATTGAGGCAACAAAGATGGACAAAGTTTTAAAGTTCTGTCAAAAATATCGGCTCACCGACGCCCCGCGTTTACGTAAACCTACAACAAAAAAAGGTGTTATTTTTAGTTGCAATATAAGCGAACATCAGCGAAACTGAAATATAAATTTAATTACTTGCATTACGCGGACGATCTGAAATCGATGAACCGGCGCTCCCAGCCTTCCGGAATCATTGGCTGCCACGGATGAAACGCTAGGCGTGCCCACGCCGCCGATCTGTACGTTGAGTATCAAACGAGCTCCTGAGAGCCGTTTGATTAAACCGGTACAGTTTGCAACATGGTCACCGGTTTGAGCAAACGTGCGACAACTTTGCTCAAACGAGTCGCCCATTTGCCCAGACGAGCGACCCATTTGCCTAACGAGCGACCCGTTTGACAAAGGAGTGACCTGTTTGTCCAAATAGGTGAGCGTTATGGCTCATACGGGAGACCCCTTTGAGCCATACGGGCGACCCCTTAGACAAACTGGTGACCGGTATGGTTAAACGGTTACCGGTATGGACCCGTTCATTTTCATATAGGCGCCAAATGGTTTTTTTCAGTAGGGGTTGCCACTATTTCAGTGTGAACTTCCTTAGGGACAGGCAAGTTCTTCGCTCTCTCTTTCCCCTCTCGCAATCTCGACTTCACTCAGACCAACCTTCAAGGTGTCCATGTAAAACGTAAGTAGACGCCGAGCGCGCTGGAGGCTCTGAAAGAGAACCCAATTGGATTGTACGTGTCTCCATTGCGCTTCACTGCGCACGCGTCTCAGAAGACGGCGAGAGAGTTGAGAGCGGTTGGAAGCTTCTGAAACGTGAAATGTTTTACCTTTCTTTTTCTGGAGGACTGACGTTTGCAAGCATTTATTCAGTTCTTTATTCCAGGCGTGACAGGGTACAACTGCCACAATTAGTTGACCGAGTCCAAGCATGTTTGCATGGCCCCATTAAATTTGTCTCTCCAAAATTTATGTCAAAACTTTTACTTCGAACTCAGAGTTTCCTCTTCTATCCAAATTCGTTTTCCGACAATATAACATTATTTGAGCATAATGATACTGTGCTTGATGAATAGGCATTTCGCCGAGTTTTCATTTGATATATAATATAGGAAATAATGTTTAATGTCACAACATTTATTAGTACCAAGACCTGGTTACTTATCGCCAAAAATGCTGAGTTCTTAATTTTGATTAGAAATAAATAAAAACAACAACATTTTTATCAGCATATTGTACTTTAAATGTATTTTATAAATCTATGTAAAACCGTTTTCTTTCTCGAAGGTGTTAGAGCCTATAGATGGTATTAAATACTCGTCCCGTGACTTACGCCCAAATTCCAAAATTCGCGTCTGGTCATTTATAAGTCAAAAACTCGAAAACGAAAAACATGATGCAAACACAGTTTTCAGTTTTGTCGTAGAAGATAGTTTTGCCGTTATACGTTTGTGTTTCAAAATTTTTCGAAACATGACCAATCTTCTTCTGTACTATTTTGAATCAAATTGAGATTAGACATTCATTAGACGAGCCCTCGGGAAAAGCCTCAGGGAGCATTCCCGCTCCACCACATTTTTCAGTCGTGGTCAAAACAAATACAAACATAGGAGCGCCTGCCGGATGGATGAATGCAGGGATGCAGGCGAATCTTTTAAATTGAGAGGCGGATTGCACCACCTAACCAGTTTTTTTTTACATTTATTTAACATAAAATTATATATGTAGAGGTTTATTCTTAAAAGCTATTACGATCCATACAATCCGTAAAGCGGAAGGAGTAGGCACAAGTTGGAGAGGTGTTGGCGCCCCTCTCCAAACGGGTGCCCACTCCTTCCGTCCTACGGATAACCGGAAGTGAAATATAAAAATATTCATTGCTGCCTTGACCTAGGCCAGCAGTCAGATTATTTCTTCTTGGTTATCTCCACCTATCCCATTTCTCTGTTTCCCTCACTATTCAATATCCCAGAGCTTTTGGTAAATTAGTCGTCCCCTCAGCGACTTCGGCCCGAAGCTCCTTGCTGTAAAGTATAAAGTGCTCAGCCGTCTGCTCGTCCTCTCCACAAGCTCCACGCGCCGTATCTACTTCCTGATATCTAGCTCTATATGACTAAGTCCGTAACATTCCCGTCCTCTCCTCGAGCAACAAAGAGCTTTCCCAAGAATTGTCAAACATTGGCTCCTTATTGATGCTCTTAGTAAACGATCTTACATTTCGAAGGCCGGTTTATTCTGCAAGCCTGCTTCCAATATATCCCTCTCAGTTCCCTCAAAACTATTTTGAACCGCTATTTTTAGATCTGCCTCGCTGCTACTACCCACATATATAAATCTAAGTTTTTATGCCCGCCTTGTCCTTTTTGTATCGACGCTTGTCATGTGTAAATACCTAAGAAATCTTCGTGTCCATCATTCTGCATCTATTTCGTTTAGTCCATCATAATATTCTATCTTACTGCTAGCCTCCGTTCCCCCGAATTAGGGCCTTCCTATATTGCCCTGCACAACTTGGTTCGATGCTTTACTATATGCTACCAGAGTCAATCTGCCTACTGCACGTTGCCTTATTTTCAGCCTTGCCTGGACGTCCGATTTTATGCACAAGAACTGCTTACGCAAAAGCCAGGCTCGGAACAATAACTCCTGTCCAGATCTCCCTCACTACCTAATACCTGTTATAGCTCCAAAGCGCTATATTTTTTGTTGCAGCTGCATTTCTGTTGCCCTTTTCAGCTACACATTTCGCATGTTCATTGAGGCATTCTGTCCTCGTTAATCCATGTTCCTAGCTACTTGTATTAACCGACTCGCTCAACCTCTAACCCTCGAATATCTTGATTTGCAATTCTGTCATCAATGAACAATATGACCAATGATTTGTCACCACCAAATTTCAAGCCTAATTTGTGGCCATCTGAGCCCCATATATTCATTAACCATCTAAGCTTTATACAGCTATCGGCCATTAGCACTATGTCATCAGCATACATGAAACCTGGCAATGACTGATATTTTTGACCTCGCCTGTCATATAAAAAAAACACAATTTTTTATTTTCTTTTTTAATTTTTATTTTAATTTTTATTGCGCATTAGTCATGAGCGTGAAACACCATCTGGCGGAACATGGCGGTACATCTCCAGCGACGTTGTAGGGTGTTTTAGTCAAAGCCTCAATACAGTGCCCCGGATTCCGGCCGACCGCCAATACCCGTGTGACCCTATAAAGTTCTGGTTTCATCACTAAACAATAAAAGCGGTCTTGCCCTTGAAGATGCCAGACTACGGACAGCTAAGGAAAAGCCGATGTCGGACAGGAACTGAGGCCTTTTGTCTCCGCTGTTCCAATCAGTTTTTTATGCTTTGCGCCATTATAAAAGCTTGCCCCATTAAAGTTATATTGTTAGTTTCACTATCCTTTGTTATTCGAGGCTGTATGTCTTTGGAAGCATGGCCGCGCAGCATCACGTAGCCCAGGCTGGTGATGCTTGCAGCAGCGACGGCGCTTTTTTATACCGAAAGAGCGTCTTTGTAGCTGTCTCATAAAAATCAGCTCCCCCCTTTTTGTTCAATATTGTAAAGAAACATGCCAGTCTGACACGTTCTGCTGCCTTTAGGGCATTTCGTTGTCCAAGGTTTCGCACTTAAACACCAGCTCACATACTCGACGACCCGCCCGTTCGCCATGTGACGCGTTAGAAAGATGGCTGTATGCCACATAGTGAAGTTCGCTCTTGTGAAGCAGTGATTGCCTGACATACGGCAGTTCAGACTTGCACACTACGTTTCCTCGGCCATGCTTTCCGGTTGCATTTATATCGCTAGCCCCCACGGAAAGTTCTCATTTATAACTAGAAACGATTTGGCCTCCTCCTCTTCGGCAGTGCGCGTCCTCCTCTCCTTTTTATGCGCATGCACGGGTCATGGATTTTTTCGCTTCTGCGTCATTGAACTACGGGCGGTGTGATATGCAGTTTTCTCGGTGGATACGCGCATGTCGCATTTGGCTCCACTCTATGATAGATGTCAGACGCTCACTGTATGTTCTCCGGTTGTCTTAACACAGCGGCACAGCCTCGGAAGAGAAAGGAGTGGATTAAACCGGATATTACTCAACAGAACCGGTGGCTCACCAAAGATCAGCGCGTTCGTCATGTCAATGATACGCTCAGAAAAGAGAATAGTGTTGTACTTGGGAGAGAGAAGCAATGCGGGCTTGCGTTGCCACGAGGAGGTCCATCTCAACTTATTCATCAGACTATGGTAATCATACAAAACACGCTTAAGTTCAAGAAAAGCCTAACTAAACCCCAGCCTCGTTTCCATTTTTACGAATTTATTCTTGCTTGTTTTCGCACCTGAGGCTAAAATAAACTGGAAAGCATGTGCGAAATACCGCCGGAAAAGTACGAAAATTAAAAAAAAAAGTTGAACAGACAGTTCCACACATTGTTTTTATTAAAGGAACCGCTCCAGTGTCTTTCCATTACGAATATCGTTACGCTCATTTAACGAGACCGTCTGTGCAGTCTTCTTGCAGTGCCTTAAATAATTCTTGCTTGTTCAAATTTTCGCTCGATTTAGCGCATGTGCCCGAGCTTTTATTCTGTAATAATTACCAAGAAGGTTACAAAAAAGATTGCGCAACTATTACTTTAGCTTCCACTGAACGAGCTGCACGAGGATGACTCCAACCATAGCGCTATTAAAACACGAACCTCGCGCTTATGATCTGCACAGTAGTCACTGTTTAGGTGGGCTGAAGTATAGGTGGTCTCAGAAAGTGTAACCCTGTACAATTATTAGATCAAACTTTCATACCTTTTCTAAGGGACGAAACGTCGTACGATCCTTCTTCAAGCTCACGCAACATATCAAAGAACATGCTCGGTGAACCGGTGGCGATGGTGCATCTGGAATGTCGAGAGTATTTCTTTTAGTGGTAAGCCAGCGATCCATGAACGATCAAGAAGTTTTCGGTTCATGTGTGAGTTCTTGTACGCACTTTTCAAACTATAACTTATTCTCCGCGCATGCTCATGACAACCAAAACTGAAGAAGACGCCGTTCTTCTCGACGTCAAATGGCACATTAGCCCAATCATCTAGTCAGACCGCATCGGTCGCAAATCTTGTAAAGTCGATGGCGTCCTTAAACACGCAAAATTGCGATCTCCTGCTTGTACAGAAAGACGACCTCAGTTTGAAACGTGCCTCTAACACTTAGGTGACCATAAGATATGGTAGTCAGTACAGAAGAAACGTGTGCGCCAGATTATTAGGGCTAACCGTAGGTTGAATATTAAGAGCATGGCTCATTAGCCCAGCTAAGACCTCACTGCCACCGTAGGGCTATTCGTTTCCATGCCAAATAGGTTATACAAGGTAATATTCTAAATTTTCTAAAAGGCTCGCGTTACCTGTGCTCTGTGATGGCTTCCAGGGTGTCGTTTGCCGTAAACTTAGGTCCCGGCAATAGAACAGTGGAGCCGAACATCGTCGCAGCAAACACGCCCAGTGTTCTGGCGAATCCATAGATCAAGTCTCCGTTCGCGCACATGAATTCACGCTGCAAGCAAAAACCCAAGGAGTATCCACTTGAGTTTTGTACAGCTTCTCATTTGCCTGAGCCTCGCCGATAAAACACAGTGGCCCAATATTAAAGTCAGTCCTTGTATCAAACAATTGCTGCAAATTGAGATGGTAAAAAAGCCTGTCGAATGTGGATAATCATAGTAATGCATGAAGATGTGTAATACTAGTCTATTAGACCAGCTTAAATTTCAAAGGGAAGGCAAGGATCTTGTTGATTTCCACGCGAAAGTGGATAAAGTCCTAGATGTCTGAAATTATCTGCTCTTTATTTATGCTATCACTGAAAGGTGTCATTTTGAATATCATTTTTGTGACATCATAAAAAAGACGAAGTCGATTTTCTGTTTTGTTTAAAGACGGCGTTGAAAGATAGTTTAATTTTGTTTTAGTTCTTTGTTGTTGACGAAAATGTTCTTGTTCTGGGGTCGCCTCAGATTGGACGATGGCAAGGTTGATTTCGCCTTGGTCAACGGAGATGTAGAGAAGCACAAGGACACACCGGGTGAAAGTTACGAATAAAGGGTGTGTCACTTTAATTCGTGGGATTCTATTTTTAAACAAAAGGTGGTGAGAGTTAGACAAGAGCCGTATTTTCTTATTTGAAAAAAAAAAAAACAGAAATAATCAAGCAGCTCATATAGTTCCATCAAGACTCAACATATAATATAATCGTCATACATGCTACCAACACGGTTCCTGTATCTTGCCGTTATGCTCTTAATTGCTATGGCTGCAGCCGCAATGATCACTGTGCTTTTCGTCAGGCTTATAACATGCAGCCAATTACAGGTTTTCCCGCGCATTTTAATCCAAGCGACGACCAATTTAATCCCGGGGTCACTCAATTTAATCCAAGCGCCATAGAATTTAACCGAAGCGCCACACAATTCAATCCCGGGGTCAGTCAATTTAACCCACAATATACGCACTTACTGTGTTCAGTGGTCATGTTTCGCTTACACATTTGGTAACTTAGAACAGTTGTTTATGCAATCAGAAATTTTGCCGGGCAATTGATAATTTGATCACTATTGTAATTACTTTGAGTTACTAGTCCCACTATTGACTATTGACTTAATTGATATGTTGGTAACTCTTTTTAGAGCACAGCTCTTAGGCACCCCTTTCCGGCTTGAGCGGCCTCGGCGTCGCCGTCGCCGTTGCCGTAACCACGCTGTGCATGATGGGTAAATTCCCCTGCCAAATTTAGCGGAAACTTTTCCCCGCTAAATTTAGCGGGAATATTTTCTCGCTAAGTTTAGCGGAAAAATTTCACCACTAAATCTAGTGGAAAAATTTTCCCGCTATATCTAGCGGAGAAGTTCCCCGCGAACTTCAGCGAAAATTTTTTCCCGGTAAATCTAGCGGAACATTTTCCCCGTTAAATCTAGCGGAAAACTTTTCCCGCTAAATTTTGCGGAAAATTTTTCCCAATATATTTAGCGTGGAAATTTTCTGCTAAATATAGCGGGAAAAATTTTCCGCTAAATTTAGAGGGGAAAATTTTCCGCTAGATTTGCCGGGGCAACTTTTCCGCCAGACCTAGCGGGGAAAGTTTCCGCTAAATCTAGCTAAGAAAATTCTCCGCTAGATTTAGCGGGAAAATTTTTCCGCTAAATACAGCGGGAAAAATGTTCAGCTAGATTTAGCGGGGAAACGTTTCCGCTAAATTTAGCGGGAAATTTACCCATCATGCACCGCGTGCCCTATTGGAAAAACCAGCATGAAAATCAAACTGGCCAAGATGGTATCTAAGCTGGTCAATCTGGTTAATGTGGTAGTCAAACTGGTTTAACTGGCAATCAAGCTGGTTTAAGATGGGCAAGCTAGAATTTAAGGTGGTCAGTCTGGTTTAAGTAAAAACCAGCATGGTCTAACTAGAATCTGGTTTTAGATTCAATATGGTGTAACTGGGAGCCAGTCTGGTCCTAATTGGTCAAACTGGTTTTTCATGGAGCCAATGTAGTCAAGCTGGGAGACAAGCTGGTCATGCTGGGAGACAAGCTGGCGAATCTGGTCGAACTAATAATCCTGGTGGTCAGGCTGGTCATGCTGGGAGCGCGCACACCAAGGTCGGCTAGAGATAGCCGAACTGGCATTGCTGGGAGCGCGCGCCAAGTTCGGCTTAGGCTGAAACGAGGCCACGTCCTGTTCTTTGTCCTCTCGTTTTTGGTAGACGACCGGGCGCATCAGGCGCGCTGCAAGCTACCTTTGTGTGAAAGAAAATAGAGAGAGAGAGTGGTATGAACGGTGAATTTGAGACGCGTTTGGCTATCTTGGACAGATTTTTGAGGGGACGGCTGTGTGCGCGTTGTTTGGAGACTACTTGGACGACGGTGCAAGCGAAGCGGGTTTTGAGGAGACAGCGAGCGTCAGTCCGTTCAGTGCAAGAAGATGTCGGACGTTCCGATTGAGGCGTTGCTTCGTGTCTTCTAACGTTTGTGTGCTCGTGAATGACGGTGGTGCCGAGGAGTATCGCCAATGCCATCCAAGCCACACGGATTTCCTCGCCTCTGCCGACCACGCAAGTTGCCGCTTCGCCCCCATCACTGGCTGGACCCAGGTTCACTTCTCTCATCCGTGTAGCATTTTCTTTTGCTATTGCCTGTTTTTGGCGTGTGTCTAGTATTGTTCGTGTTGAAAGACAAGCAATCCGGTTTTATTAACATTGTTGGCTTTGCACCGAGAACCACTGTCTGTGCGTCGCGTAGTAGTGTGTCAGCGCCGAGGATATGTAGCATCTGAGTTCATGTGAGGTGGCCACGAGTACGAAAATAATAACTTGGATGCCGAGTTGGCTTTTCTGAAGAGCTTGGCTTGTTTATCCTGTGTATTAATTTAAGCAGGTTAAACTGGTTGAGAAGTCCACCAGCATGACCAGCATGCCAAACTGGGCATGCTGGGGCAATAACCCAGCTTGAAGCTGGGATCAGATCAACCACCATGACCAGCATGCCAAACTGGGCATGCTGGGGCAATAACCCAGCTTGAAGCTGGGACGAGATCAACCAGCATGACCAGTATAACCAGATAAACCAGCGTGACCAGTATGACCAGAACAACCAGCATGACCAGCATGCCAAGCTGGGCATGCTGGGGCAATAACCCAGCTTAAGCTGGTTTTTTCAATAGGGTGGTCACGCCGACGCCGCTTAAGCCGGAAACAGGTGCCTAAGCTAAGAGCTGCGCTCTAAAAAGAGTAACCAACATATCAATTAAGCCTCATTCAAAGTGGGACTACTAACTTAAGGTAATCACATTAGTAATCAAATTATCAATTGCCCGCAAAAAATTCTAATTGTATAAACAATTGTTCTAAGTTACCAAATGTGTACACGAAACACGGCCACTGAACACAATAAGTGCGTATATATATGTATATATATATATATATATATATATATATATTGTGAGGACTGGTAGGCAGATAAGAATATAAAAAGGTTTAATTAAGAGAGAACTGGGTTAGATGGCTGCATAACGCGCCGAGGCGACCAAGAACAACTGCACGCGCCAGTCCTTGAGCGCGTGGGCACGATGATTGCCAGACCGAATTGTGGGTTATGCCGTCTGGCTCACAATATATATATATATGTATTGTGGATTAAATTGACTGAACCCGGAATTAAATTGTGTGGCGCTGGGATTAAATTGTATGGCGCTTGAATTGAATTGAGTGACCCGGAATTAAATTGGACGTCGCTTGGATTAAAATGAGCGGGAAAACCTGTAGATTCCACTAAAGCATCATCATAAATTAAATTGCTATGCCTCCAGTCATTATGTTTCTACCCACGTTGTACTATCAGTTGACCACCCCAAACAACCGATCCCCAGGTAGCACACCATGTCGGCCGATACTGGGATTACGTCGGCCAGTACCGGGAGCTGTACGGCGGATCCCGGCCAGGGACGCCGGTAAGAAACCGATCCCGGCCGATATCGGGGACTCGTTGTCTAAACTGGCCAGCGCCAGCCGGAAAGTTCCCGATGCCGGCCGACATCGTTTTCTTGCTGTAGTCACCGGCCAGTCTAGCCGTGGAGTTTCCGGTGACTGGCCGGTATC